GGGAGAGAGAGAAAATACAACTCGTTCCTTTTCGACTGTTTTGCTATAGCTTTAGCACTTCATGTTGAGATTATTGACTTTTGATCCGGCTAAACCGTTCTCCTTCCTCCTCTTTTGGTGCTGGACGATGCCAGCCAAAATTTATGAGCCGTTTTCCTTCTCCTTAATTGTTGATATAAATCTGCTCCGCAGAACCCAGTTATAAATTTATCACAAACTGGACGACAGTGATATACAGCCCCTGCTCAGGGTAGTCTGAGCACAGCCATGACTTAGAAGGACGATCAACTCCCTGGAACTCTCCAGCAGCTACTTTGTCACATTATAAAGATCTAATTAAAACACATCTTCCTCTTCCTATTTCTCTTAAGGATCAAAGAACATCCCACGCTGGTTTTTTCAGCTGATTAGCTCACGCTGCTTAATGTGAGCAAAGTTGGGGGTTTGCTCCTTGAAGCAGCCAGAGGATCTCAAAGAGCCAAACATACCCCCATGGTTACAAAAATAAAATAGCTGTTAGCCACCAACAGTTATTTCATACATACACGTGTCCTTTTGTCACAGAGGGGAGCCCTAGGTTAAAATCTATTTAGACAGACTAACATAAATTTGCCCTCACTTTGGAGGAAAAAAGGTCTCCCAGCTAGAATCACATCCAGGGTCACGCAGGAAGAAAGATGGAGCTGAAACTGGGCATGTGGCTCTCCGTCAGCGGGGGTTCCTTCCCTTGCCCAAGTCTGCTGGAATGCTGAAAGAGCTTGGGTGCTCACTATCAGCTCCACAGCAAGCCACACAGTCCCCAAGGCTCCTGAGAATTCCTGCTTCTCTCCGGATCTCTCAACAGTGCATCTGAACATAAAGCGGCCATGTAGAAGAGAAGAAATCAGAACACCTTAATACCCTAGCATAAAAGCAAGAACCAATGTGGGGGCAGTGTGGAGCAGGCTCAGGCCATAGCACTCACCAGAGGCTAACATGTCTCTGGGGAGATGGCTCAGTTAGGAAAAAGCCTGTCAAGTCAGCATGAGGGCCTGAGTTTGGATCCCCAGCACCCATGCAAAAATGTGGGTAGGGTAGTGTGTGTCGATAATCCTAGCACTGGGGAGGCAAAGACAAGAGACTCTGTGGACCCGTTAGCTGGCTAGTCTTGCCCAGTTGGTTAGCTCAAGGTTTATTAGAGACCCTGTCTCAAAAAAACAAGATAGAGCTGGTATGGCGGCGCACACCTTGAATCCAGCACTCAGGAGGCAGAGGCAGGCAGATCTCTGAGTTTGAGACCAGCCTGGTCTACACGATGAGTTCCAGGCCAGTCAACAAAGAAAATAAAATAGAAAGCAACCGGCTGGCACAAATGCCAATCTCTGGCTTCTAAACACACACACACACACACACACACACACACACACACACACACACACCAACCAATAAGCACACAAATTTAACATGCATAGGAACCGTAAGGCTAAACTGCAGATTCCTGTTGGACTGAACCCGGGCGGGGCTTGAGCATCTGCATACAGTTTCCAGGGAGCACTCTGGATTCTGAGGTCTGTCGGCAGCTCGCAGGGTAAGAGCCAGGCCCTTCAGCTGCAAATCCTGCTCCTGTCATGATGGCCTGCAGCCAGTGTGTGTTTATTCCTAATGATAATGAAGGCCTCGAGGATCGACAGTGGCTCGCCTTTTGTGAATACATTTTAATGGTTTCTAGATTATTCCAGCAATGATGCCAGTCACTTTATGGATGGGAGATAAAGTGTGGAGGGATTCATTCCATTCTAATCCATCTTGGAGGTCCGTTAGTCCTAAATGTACCCTACAGTCTTCTTGCCTCCTTAAGTAGTTCTCTGATGGGAAGGGAGGGCAAGCTTCTGGTTGATTTAAAGCCATGTTCAAAGCAGACCAAGTAAGCAGGATGCAGTGTGCTTGCATAGACATTCACATTCAACATGCACCCACCAGGTTGTTCCCCTCAAGCAGGGTGCTCTATCTGGTCCTGAAGCTTGCCCAGGATTTGATCGTTGTACCCACTAGTCTTGGTCACCTGGTAAGGCCCTGCCCAAAGTGTTGTTGGCGAGGGGAAGTTCCATTTCTCTGCTGTCACGTGAAGAAAGGGAGTCTTGGTGGGGGGGTTGCTTAGAAGTGAACCTCTCTTGCCTACTTTCCTGTCCTTTCTGGGAGCTTTGGACCCTAAGATTTAGCACCCCAACAATGACTGCTAGGTGGAGCGTCTTCGTATGTATGAACAGGGGTGTCTCTAGAGTGTGCCCGGGACTCTAGCTTAGAAATTACGATCTGTGGTCCCTGCCACCCACATGACAGTTTCTAGAGAGAAGACAGACAGCTGACACTTCTGTGTGGGCAATTCATGAGTCCCTAGAGCAGAGTGGCCAGTAGACCAGGATCCAGAGAAACCATCCCCATGGCTTTTACACAGACAGGAAGGGCAGATGGTACCTCTCAGGGCCTGTCTGGGCTGTGAATGGTCACAACCTCTCTCTGTCACTATCCAGGACTCCTAAACCTTAATACACAGATACCCAGTGCCTACCCTTATAGTGCCCCCTGGGAAATCTGACCAACCCTGGCTGTGACCTGACTCCCAGCCCCTTCCCCCCAACCACCATCTCCTTTCCCTTCTCCTCCGATGCCCACAGGACTGTCTTCTCTCCTTCCCTCTTCTTCCCCTATTCTTGCCCTAGCTCCGTTCCCCAGATCCAGAGAGATCCAGAATCCACGCCTCTCCACAGCCTCACTTCCTAGTTCACTGCCCACTAGCAGTCCCAAGCATCAAAAGACCCTGTCACTGTCACTGGACACTGAGGTAAGAAAGACAGGGCAGAATGAAGGGCAGGACGGATTTAGGAGCAGCTTTTCAGAGCTGCCCCACCTCAGCAAGTGTAGCGCTTCTGTTCTTTGGATGTTTAGCAATGAAAGCTCCAAGTCCAGCCCCACCCCGCCCCTGCTGTGTCCCTGCAGAACACACGGAGGGGTGACCTGTAACGGCCCCACACCAGTCTCCCAGGACTGCCCCACACCAGTCAGCCTGGATATGTGTCTTTCCCGTGACAGCTCAGAGTGCTGTATATTCGAGATCTGGGGCCCTAGAGGATTCAGGCTAAGAATGTAAGACAGCCGGGTCAGTTCACAGCAACCCAGAAAAGCAGGAATTACAGGTAGAACTCAGCGTTCTGTGGTCCACTTGGCCTTGAGTTACACTTGAACCAAGTGGTTCTTAACTATTGTGCGCATCAAAAGTTCCCTACAGTTAGCTTTGGAAGTCAAAGAACAAACGGAAACTTGGTGTTTTGACTTCCCTGGACACCTTTGACGAATGCCATTCTACACAGAAGGTTCCAAATAGCTAAGTCTGGTGAGAATTTAAAAACCCATGGTTCTTAAAAGACCCCCTCCCTGTAAACCCACTGCCAGATTCAGAACGCCACTGTTTCGTCTCAACATATTATCCACCATTAACCTGCACTTCTCCGGCAGGGGCACCAGAATCAAGCCCAAGTAGAATGCCAGCCCTATGGGCATAGGAAATCAATCTGCCAGGCCTACTGGTCCAGCCCAGATCCCACAACAGCACCCATGAGAGGCTGGTGCCCAGAGGAGCCATGCATGAAGGCAGTGCCCTCCTCTTCCAGCTAGAGGCAGATCTAAGTGAAGATACAGGATGGGGTTGGCAGGGAGGCACACTGGGTAGAGACCAGGTGGTTACTGCCTCCTGGGAGGACAGAGTTACTCAGGTCAGACAAGGGCCACAACTGAGAGAGAGGATGTAGGCTGAAGAGTCTGCGCAGGGTGGTACCCACAGTCAGACAACTATGCTCTCACAGGCTCCTGTGGAGCCTCACACAGTCCTATCAGGTAATGGCTAGAACCTTCCAAACCATCACACACCCAGGAGGACAGGTCCATGACAGCGGCTCCTACGTCAGGCTTGACGGTTCCAGAACAAGGGACTTTCTACTACAGTAAGAGTGCCCCCCTAGAAGCTAACGCAGTTTTTGCCTGGGGCTGCTCAGGGGCTCCATCCAGCCCTTCAATACCTTAGAACTGAGGGGGTGTCAGGGAGGTGCCACAGAATGGGGGGGCCTTTCCAGAGTGTTTGTGTTACAGGCTTTCTGGTCGTCTGCTCCTCCCCAGGGCTGTGAGCATCGTTATGTTTTGTGTTGTGGTGTTGCCTGCTTGAGATGTTTCATAACTGAACATGGCATGTGTGAAAACGCCAACTAGATGAGCAAGCCCGTCCAGGCCTATGAATATTCCAGATCAGAGGGCTGCTCGGCTCTCCCGTGAGTGGCAGTATGGAAGGTTTATAAAGTTGAGCGGTTAGAAATCTGCCTTTTACATTTAAATATTTAGATTGGGTCTCTAGGACTCAGGAGGCAAGGTCCCCGTCCCTCACTTGCTTAATTTGAATTTCCCCCCTCCTTTTTGGTAGCACAAGTTGTTTTTCAAAGGCTCATTTCTTGAATGTTCCCTATAGGAAGGATGTAATTAAACTCCGCTGGCCTCCTCCTGCTGGGACCAAACTGGGGCAGGAGCTGTGGGGAGCCCACCACAGACCCCCTGCCAAGGCTTCTTGTTGTGGAGATGAGAAGGGAACACGTTTCCCCCTGGCTACGAACAAGAAGGGGTGGAGAGCCACCCAGACTCCTGTTACCTTGTGACCCCCTCTCCTAGACACTGTAGTTAGTCGGTGAGGACGGTGAGGAAAAGGGTGGCACCAACTCCTGTCTTCTCTGTGGCAGGCAAGGATTTGAATTACCTGAATAACTGACGCCAGTGGCTGGCAAGAGGTGAGCCGGGTCAGGAGTGGCGGTGTGCACTTGGAACCCCAGTACTCCAGAGTAGAAGGCAAGAGCATCTTGGATTTAAAGCCAGCCTGGGTTAAGCAGTGAGAACTTGTCTCAAAAATGCCCCAAAGTCAACCAACCAAGAAGAGATGGTCCAGGATTGCAGTTCTTTAAAACATAAAACTTTTACCTGCAAATGCATCGTTTGGGGTCCTGGCCCTACCTCCCATCAGTCACTGGGTTTGCAGTCCACCCCTCGCGGGCCTGGGGTGCAGCTGCATTGCTCTCTCGCTAGGACTCTCAGCTGGCAACAGGGTGAAGAAGCGTAAGCTGTACCACAGGCCCCCAACCACATTCCACCAAACTGGACCAGAGTAAAGAGCGAGCCGTCCAAGCCGAAGGGAAAACATGGAGGGCAGAGTGACCATCACTGGATCGGTGACAGGACACACCTTTTTGTTGCTTGGTTTTCCTCTCTGTGAAACGGAGATAGGCCCATGTTATAGGTCATAGGTTGTCACGGAGCTGAGTTAACACACGTGTGATATTTGTGACAGCATCGGCAATACATGCATCAGCTGTTATCACCTGATCAGTGCCTCAGTTTCCTTATCTGTAAAAGGAAGGGATTGGACTAGACGGCATCTCTGCTGGCAATAGCAACAGCACTGAGTGTTCTCAGGGAAGACCCAAGCTCCTGACTTTGCAAACGAACACTAACCTGGTCCTCACAAGAACGTCACAGAGTCAGAGCTGTCACGGAGCCTGTGGCATTGGCAGGGAAGGACGAGCCAGAGCGAGAGAACCAAGAGAGAGTGAGGTTTATTTTAAGGAGTTGGCTCACGCCGTGTGGGGGCTGGCAAGTCTGAAGTCTGTAGGGCAGGCTGGCAGTTGGAAACTCACACAGGAGTTGATGCCGCCATCTGGAGACAGGGTGGCTTCTCCAGGAAACAGCAATGTTCACTCCTCTGCCCAACCCAAGGTCATGGCCTTTATTTAATGTAACATAGATGCTAATACTGTGGGGCAGAATACAGAGTAGGGAGCTACAGCCTAATCAAGTTTTCAAAAGACTTGTCATGATAGAGAGGACAGCATCCAAAGATAAGGGTTTCACTGGGAAGGACACACCCAGGATCCTTCTGGCTTTCCCATCTCCTAACTTATACCAAGGACACTATCAACACAGTATCTAATTTTAGGGGCTCCATGGCTGGTCCTCTAAGCTCTAATGTTTCTATTGACTTGGTAGGTAGTAGTGGCTCTAAACATCCTGGAAAAGGGGGACTTCAAGACTACCTTCAGGGGTGGGGCTTGGGGCTGTATTACTTCTGTCTCATGGAACCATGGAAATGCCAGTTGTCCGGGTGGCAGGGCAGCCCTGCCCATGCTCATCTATGGCAAAGGAGCCCAACCCTCCATCAGCCCCTCCACCAGCACCATCTCTGACCTGTCATCCTGCTTCTCAGGACCACGGAAGGTCTTAGGTTTATTGTGATTTTCCTGTCATCATGGTCTACTCGCTGAGTTTCCGGGTTCTCTTTCTGAGTGGCCTGTAATGGTATGAAATGAATGGCACCTAGGCAACTTCACCATCCCGCCCCTAGGTGCCTGGATATTTCACCCACACCCACAAAAACATCCTGGAACCTGAAAACTCAGTCCTGGGGCTGCTTTCTGCTTCAACAGACACTCTGTCTGAAGGCTTTCTTGGTCATCATCATCATATTGTATGTGTAACTTTGTCGTGTCTATCTCTCCTTCTGCATTTATGTGGTTGTGCTCAGGGGTGGGGTGTCGCCAGGCTTGGCACACACCTTTGCATGTTGAGCCATTTTGTGGGTCCCCTTTCTCGTTCTCATTTGGGGATGGTATCGCCTCGTTCTTTATAAAACGTTCTCTGGCTCTCCTCCACCTTCTCTTCAGGGTCTGCCCTGAACTCTGGTTGTAAACTGGGCGTGTAGTTAAATCTATTAGGCATATACAAGAGACACTTGGCTTGCAGCCACATTGGCTCTCCCACCCCTGGGACCCACCCTCTACCCAGCACTGCACTGCTCTGCCAGAGCCCTCCCCATCCTCCCTCCTGGGTACCAATCAGAGGCCACCTTCACACACTCCACCCTGCCCTTGGCTACTGCCCAATGAGGTTTCCTCTCAGTATAGAGAAGGCTTGGAAGATGGTTGGAAAGGGAAGAACGGCCCAGAACTCTGAGACTGTATTCCCCATCTTTCTGCCCAAAAGGAGACAGGACCTCCAGGCCTCACCAAGTCTCTAGATTCTCTGACCAAGACCTGGTGTTTGTCACAGTTTGGCAACGAAGTGGCCCCCAAAAGGCTCATGTGGAAGGTTAGCTGTCTACCTGATGGGGCCCTATGAAGGTGTCTGGATCGTGAGACCTCTGATGGATCCATCATTCAGAGGGCTTGCTGGGCAATGGTAGAAACCAAAAGCGAAGCCCGTTTGAAGGAAGCTTGTCAATGAGAACAGGTGTCTGGACAGCCTCCCCCTCCTGCTCCACTTTCTGGCTGCCTTGTGGGCAGCTTTCCTCTGCTATGCCTCACCATGCCCCACCACCATGTTGTGCCCTACCATACAGGAAACCACAGAGCCCAGTGAGCAGGGACTAATGTCTCTAAAACCATGAGCCAAAATGACTCCTTCCTCCTTTTAAGTCCCTTCTTACAGATAACAGTGACAGGAGACTACCACGCCTGCTCTGCACAGCCATTCAGCACGGTACAGTCTGACTTGAGACAACTAGCAGCCCAGGAGGCTTCCCCCCACTACTGCCATTGTGCCCCATATGCAAATCAAGACCCCAGAACAGCCAGAAACTTCCACGTCCTCAAGAGCTGTAAAAACGTCAGTGATTGGGATCCACATCTGACTTAGTTGGTCCAGAGTGAGTCCGGGGCTTCTGAAAAGACCCTGGGGATCTAAGATGCAGCTCGGGTGAAGGCTTAGTACCATGGGCGCTGTGAGGGGTCTGCACCAAACGATCTATGTGGCCCGAAGTCACTGTCAACCTCAGGAATGTTTTTGTTGTTGTTGTTGTTTGGTTGGTTGGTTGGTTGGTTGGGTTTTTATTGTTGTGGTGGTATTTTTGTTTTGTTTTGTTTTTTTCAAGACAAAATTTCTCTGTGTAATAACTCTGGCTGTCTTAGAACTCCTTCTGTAGACCAGGTTGGCATTGAACTCACAGGGATTCACCTGCCTCTGCATGGGATTAAAAACGGGATTAAAGTGTTGGGATTAAAATGCTGGGACTAAAGGCGTGTGCTATCACTGCCCAGCCAGGAAAGGTTTTATAAACACCCTATGGGGCCTGTAGCTGCTCATAGCATTTTAGAAAAGCCTCAAGTCAAATTGTTGGGAAGCAGCAAACTTTCTGAGACAGTGTGGTGGTCACACCCAGTTCCTCTCACTAGCTACAGTCCAGAAAGGCCTTAGGGATGGTTGGTTGCTCTGGCAGGGCCAGCAGGAGCACCTATCTGAAAGTGTCTCACAAAAATCACATCAAAGCCAAGACTGACTCAAGGACTGTGAGGCCCATTTCTCCCTCTTACCCTCAAGACAGCTGGAGCTCAGGGGTATCCCATCACAGGTCCCCACCCGAGCTAAGAAAGAAGAGTAGCTAAGTGTTCCCGTGTGGTGTGGAAGGGTGAGCCAGTTCTTTGTCTCTCTCCCACCCTCTCTGTCTTTTCACCTTGCGCTGTAAATCTCATTTGATGAGTCCCCAGCTTGGCTGCAAATGAGAGATTTGTAGACCTGGAAGATGCTAATGATGGTTCTTACCTCCTGAGTAACGGTAAACATTTATGAAGCATTATAATCATTCATAATCACTTTTATGTGCTAAATAAATCTGACCTTGCTGTAAAGAGTCAACCCTACTAGCCAAGAATTCTGGGTAAAATGAAGTCTCCTAGAAGCCCCTAATGCAAGAGACTCTCATTCAATAATCCAAGAGCCAGGGAATCCTAACAACCAATTCTGTGTTTGGACTTCATTTTAATGACTAAATGAATCAGCAGCTTGGAGGTAAAGTAACTACACTAAGTTAGCAACAGATACTTAATTTAAACCCAGAACAACCATTCCCTGGTGCCATCTTGGGAACGGCCACTAAGTCTGGGAGACACTGTCCCGTAAGAGCAGATGCTAAAACTGGGGGACCTGTAGTCAGATGCACATATGACTTCTGTTTTGTTACCATTGTGGCAGACAAGTTCATGGCAGGATGTTGGAAGTTCCCAGAGTTGTTTCTTCCTCTGCCCCAGATGTCCTCTTTCTGCAGCCACCAAGCCTCAAAGGACAGTAGTAGAAAAAAAAATCACTCTTTACTTGACAACAAGGAAGTATCAGTAAGTTAAGATGCATTTGTCTTTACCAGTAAGAGATTAATTTACTTCAATAATTAATAAACTAATCAAACAAGATAAAAAAAAATCACAGCAAAAGAAAGAAAAAGGTCTGGAGAGATGGATCGGTTGTTAAGAGCTCTGTTCCCAGTACCTATGTCAAGTTGCTCACAGCTGTCTGTCACAGAGGAACCAATGCCCTCTGGCCTCCAAGGACGCCTGCACACTTGGTGCATCTACACCGATGCACACACATACATATACACATAAATAAAAAAGCAGATTTTTAAAAGCAAACCTAGGTTGATTAGAAATGTATTCTCTTTGCTTAACATTTAATTTACATTCTCCTTGTCTACCCTTGGGTCTCTTAAAACTAATCTCTATAGATATCTCCATGTATTATTAGCTTTTATCCCTATGTAAAATCTTCCCTATCAAGAATTCCTCTATTCTATCTGTCCCTTGGGTTTCAGGCAGACAGTTTCTTCCCCTTGGGAATAATTTATGTGTTAAGCCTGTCAGTTGTCACTGTATCTAGTTGTATTTTTCTCCCTGTCCCTCAAATTTTTCCTCAAATCCTCCTTAATAGGGCCCATAGTGTCTGTCTGGAATCTTGTGACGTGCTGAGCTGACACAGACCCTAATTTAGCCAAACAAACTCAGGCTGTGTCTGGCATCTACGCAGTAGCCCGTGACCTTTGCATCCTTCTGTATCTTCCCCAAAGTTCAGAAGAGGAAATGTGAGTGTCACCCCTGCCCTCTCTCCCGCCTCTGGCCTCCTAAGTCCAATCTCAAAGTTCCGCTGATGCAAGTCTCATCCTGATTCCATCTTCCATTAGCACGTGGACCAGCCATAGGCAGAAGAGGTCCCTGAGCATAGCCTGTCCTTGCTGGGGAGGCATCTGGGATCTACAGTTCCAGAAACCAGCACCTTCCCCTGGTCCATGCTCAGGCCTTAGACCCTCTTACTTTTAACTGGCATAGCCCATGACCAAGCAAGCCACAGACTTTATACCATAGACACACACACACACACACACACACACACACACACACACACACACCTGGAACATTTCTGCCTTCATCATTTCAGAAAGGAAAGAAACTCCAACCTTAGAAGTTTCATATCTCATCCCCTCGTTCCCTAGCCCTCCTCCCCTCCCATTCCTGCACACCTTCCCATAGGTAGGAGCCTCTTCTGCTTGTTTGCCCCCTGGACAAGCCTGACTGTCCCATGACAAGTGCAGGGTCTGTCATGGTCACCAGTGGTCAGGGTCTGGGCCAGGTGTTGCCAGGCCCTTGGCATCTTAGTCAAATAACTGAAATAAGATGTACACACATTGCAAAATAGCAAGGAAACTTTATTCAAAGCAGTGCAATAGAGAGAGTTGAGAAGAGAGAAAGATCACGTACATTCAAGAGTGTCAGCAGGCCAGACCACATGAGTGACAGCAGACCACATGAATGAGGGAACTCTAAGGACCCTGCTACTGTTTGGGACCTCCTTTTATGGGGTTTAAGGAAGAATTCAATAAATCTCTGCTCTTTGAGTATGTCCCTTCCCATGATGCATCTGGCTTGAATCACGAGTGTGCCTAACTATGGTAAGCAGGGAAATCTCCCTGAATGTTCACTCGGAAGATACAATTTACCTGACAGTGCATATACTCAAAGGCAATGTAAACCACACCTGGCCACTGCCTTCCATGCCAGACACATTCTGGTACGTGTTTTAGTAGAAATTGTTCATGGGAGGGGAGGTGGTTTCCATCCTTGTCCAGGGGAGGAGGAGCCTCTTCCCTTGTTTGGAGTGAGGCGGACATGCAGCCTGGTAGGTCGTGAGGTGCGTTGTTAGGAAAGGGATATGTGTGCTCAGCCCAAGCCAAGGAGAGTCCCGGGTTGCTAAGCTAAGCCCTGTGCTCGTCCACCTCACCACAGCCAGACATGGGTGCTCAGCAGTAGTCAGTGGTGGTGGTTGAGGAAGTGATGATCAAGGGTGGAAAACAGAGATCATTCGCTCAAATCCCCCTTTGAACCTGAGAGAGAGAGAGAGAGAGAGAGAGAGAGAGAGAGAGAGAGAGAGAGAGAGACTAGGAATTGAATTCAGGGTTCCACACAAGGTAAGGCAAACACTCTACTACTGAGCTACATGCCTTTGTTTTATGAGTAAGCAAATGGGGAAAGGACATTAGGATACAGCCCAGAATCACACTGTATTATAGTTTCCTGGCCAAGACCCACGCACACTTGTCTGTGTGCGCTGAGAAATCAGCATCCTCTCTAAGAAGGCCAGTGGAGCCTGCCAGATACTCGCGAGCTCATGCACCTTTAGAAGAGCGAGGGCCTGTGTCCGTAGGATGGCAAGCATCTGAACCCCTGGGAATCCCTGGGACTGCTCCTCAACATCCCTGCTTTCCATTCCAGATCATTCCAGGTCCTCTTACCGGCCTTCCTCCCTGTAGCTTACTTCCGCCAACGACCATTTTCCAAGCCAGGTCTGGCATTCTGCAATCTCCTGAAAGCCATCTGGCTTCCTGTCCTCCAAGCTCTCCTTGGCACCAGGTTAATGGAGGTCACATTCCCTTTGCAAGGCTTGAGCCTCCCTTCCAGAGCAGAAAGGAGCACCTCCTCCACAAGCAGTGCCTCGACTTTAAGAAACTGTCCTCCAAGTGTAGAGGTTCACCTGAATCCAAGCACCCAGGAAGTAGAGGCAAGAGGATCAAAAGTTCAAGGTCATTCCCAGCTACATAGCTAATTCAAATCCAGCCTGGGCTATATGACATCCTGTCTCAAGGAGTGGGGCAGGAACGGAAGAAAAAGAAAAGAAATTAATTTTAAAATGATGGGATATACCAGGAACCTTCAGGTGGGGGCTCTAAAGGATACAGTCAAGTGTTGTGTGTAAGGAGACCTAAAGGCATGATGTCACGTATGTCTGCTTGAATATTAAATTAGCCGGCTGGTGGGATGCCCTTCTCCTTTGGTGTGACTGCTCCAGGACAGAATGACAGAGATTACAGATAAAATCCCTCCTTCTGGCGGGCCCTGGAGCCCATGCGTTCACTACCAGAAGGTGCCATTCTTGGGCAAAGGGCAGGGCTGTGCGTCACCGGACAAAAGAAACCACCACTCCCAGGACGGCTCTCCAGGGACTTAGACCAGAAGGAACCCCGTGAGTCACTTTCACAAAGACCTCTTGGGAGGGGTGGCCACAGCGTTCAGGCACAGGTAATCAGCTGCACGGAAATGCAGAGCAAAACTCTTATCAGAAGATGTCATTTCTCCCCTAAATGTCATATATATAATTTTTACTGGGGCGTGATGACAGAGTGAATAATTTAACATAAATTTGCATAATGCCATACAGCTGTTAATTTATGATCATATTAAAGCACAAAGTTTTCTAGTTGGAGGCATTTTAAAGTCTTAATCTTCTAACTTTCCCTCCTGTTTGCTCTCTGCTTATTACTTACTTAAAGCTGTCAGAAAAAAAAATACAGGTATCTGGTTAAATTTGAATCCAGATAAATAATGACTTTTTTAAAAATTGTATCTCATTCAGTATTTGGGATATACTTATATTGAAAATGTAGTTGTTGTATTCTGATACTTAGTTAACTGAGTGCTTCTATTTCTATTCTAAATTGGGGGTGTCTGCACTTATCAGGGATGGCTTAACCCCCAGGTATTCTCTGCTAGAGCAGAAGAAACAGCAACCAAGGACAGTGCCCACTGTGGGGGACTTGTTTCTTTATGTTGTGAGGGAGGCTGGTCCTCTGAAGAGCATTAATAGAGTTAAAGGAATCCAACTATACAGGGGTGTCAGTGAAAGTGGGGAAACTGAGGCAAACAAGATTTGTGGGCATTCCTGTCAGCACCTGGGTGTTACAGCTTCGGGTTTCAAACTTTGGTTCCCATCATGAGAAATGTAATTTATAATTCAGTCTGGTGTTCATTTACCAGAGCACACTCACCACATAACAGGGACAGAAGTTTCACAAAAGGACATGTAGCTGTCTATATGTGGTCTGTTCTGGTCTACTGTGTGTGCATGCGTGTGTGCGTGAGTGTGTGTGTGTGTGTGTGTGCTATGCCCTGCATGCATTCACTTATTTATTCATTTATTTATGTTTCATATTTGCTGTGCTTCAGCTTTATTCTGTTTTGTTTCAGACAGAGTCTATATCCCTGGCTGTTCTAGAATTGGCTATGTAAGATCAGGCTGAGTGATCCTCCTGACTGTCCCACCCTCACCCCCTAGTGATAGGATTACAAGTGGGTACCATCATGCCTGGCTACTACATCAGTCTTAATTTTGGCCTTCACCCCTTAAATTGAATGTATAGACCCCCTAAAGGATCACAGCTCCTGTTCTGAAAATCACCGAGTTACAGGGTTACCATCCAGGAAAGTGAATGGGGAGATTAAGACAGAATCCATGAGGTGGAGAGATGGTTCAGGGAGTGAGAGGGCTTCTTTGCAATCATGGGGATTGGGGGTGGTGCCAGAGCCCACCTACAAAGTGGGGCATAGCCGTGTGCACCTGTAACCCAGCTCTGTGGGAGACGGAGACAAGAATCACTGAGGCTGGCTTGTTGCCAGTGAGAGACCCTTTCCCAAATGAATTAGGCAAGACAACAGAGGTCTCCTCTGCTCCCGGCATGCACAAGTACATGAACACACACACACACACGCACGTGCACGCACTCATGCACATGGGTATACTTTACAAAAAAGGAAATATATCAGACCAGTTAAGACTTTTCCCAGTTTTGTTCGTTTGTGACAAAATAGGGGCTAAAACCTTCAGAGTTGGGGTTCGCTGCAAAATGGTCCCTTACCCAGCCACCCTGGGGACAACACAGATCCTTCCTGAGCCTATGTCTCCATCTGTTAACACACACACACACACACAGAGTAACCAGTCCTTCCCTTGACACTGTATATCATGCCCTCCTTATTACTGGGAACTTTTTCTACTCTTCTGCTCTAAATTTGCCTCTGACATCCCATTTTCCCAGGACGTGATTTCCTTCAAGAGGCCAACAGAACAATGCTTAAATCAGAGCATAGGTGGAACCCAGCCTGGGTCTATACTAGAGATCATTTTGCCCACTTCTACCCACTGTACCAGGAATAAGAAACTCATCCCTACCTGGGGGGAGGGACAGATTGTGACTGGACCAAGCCAACATCCTTCCACCTGTGGATCGAGCTCCCCTAAAGAGGCACAGGCTGTACCTTCTGGCATTACAGTCTCTCCCAGAGTGG